ATTTGCTGCTGCCTGTTTACGTATTAAGACGCTCCCTTACTATGCATGTTATCTGCAAAATATTCATTGTATATATAGTAAGGAATACACCTATATATGACCCGAAATAATACGGGCTCGCTAGTAGAAACAGACAGAGAATGCCGCCTCCTGCGCCTTGTGCCTCCATGCACAGCTGCCTTGCAGCACTCTCTGCTGCAGCAGACGTTACTGGGAGTGTTGCTGTAGCAGTTGCTGCAGCAACTTTTCGCTGTAACTCTCGTCTTAACCGCCTCCTCAACGGAATAGGCATCAACTAACCTGCTGTCCTTGGCCACTGGGCGCATGATTGCTATAAGCTAGAGAGGGGAATTAAGGTGTTCTTAATGATGTTTACCTTAAGTGTTACTTTGCTTTGTTGCAGCTTTTGGCCTTCTTCCTCTAGTGAAGATCGGGGGCACTAATTGGAAAGTAGCTGCTTTCTAGTATGCTATTAAGTACTGTGAGTGCCGTAGTTTTGGGTTCTAAAATGCTAGAATCAAGAACGAAGAGGAATAAATATATGCTTGTAGTTCAAGGACGAAATACACTCTGTAGTATCGCCGTGCAGGGAGAAGTTGCATCTACTGACCCACGCTGCTGTCATTGAGGCTTCTGAAGGCATTAATGAATAGACGTAATGCGTTAATTAATTAAGGGAAAGAAATTAGAGAAGAAACCCGCGAAGAAACACCTTGTAGGAGAGGCAAATGAGCCGCGCTACTCCTGAAATCCTCTCAAGGTAACGCCCTAGCGAGCGCCGCCGACCAGAGGGTTCCCATGGTCATATTTTGCGATCTTCGTGGCATATGGGTAAAAGAAGAGAATTATAATTGATTAAGAGAGTTTAAATTGCAAAAAATTAGCGAGAAATAGGCTTAGTTGGCGGCTTCCCACTCAGCATGCAGTGCATGTACTTACTAGTAGTAGTTCACGATGCCGGATGTACACCTGAAGTGTCAGCGCATCTACGACCTGCCAGTCAGCGACCTGTACAAGACATGTTTCTGTGTGCTTTTTAACTATTTCTTCGGCGTCTGCTGCCGATGAAGCGCTTGTGTCATCTACTCCTTCCTTCGTCGTCACCTTTGTATTTGTCGTCGCATTTTCCTTTTTTTTGGCCTCTCCAGGGGGGCCCCATCTGACAGCCTGCGCAGCAGCTTCTCTGCTCACCTTCATCATGTATGGCTCCTAATAGCCTTCTGAATCAGGCATACAGCAAAGCCACTATTTGGCCTTATACAGCAGCAAGGACAGCAGCAGCAACCGAACAAGCAGCAGCAGCTGCTGCTGTTTCCGCCGCAAACGCTCATTAGCTGCGTTCTGACGAGACAGTTGCCTGTTTCTCCTTCATTATCAATTGTTACAGTGCCTCCCGAGCCTCTTAAGTGTCCGTCAGTTGGAAGGACCAGCAGATTGAGCAGCCATACGGACCTGCTACCTGCCTGCGTCTCTTCTTCCACTGCTGCCGCTGCTGGCGCTGCTGCTATACATGCATGCAGAATGGATGGGCCCAGCTATTCTTCCGCTGCCTCCGGCGTTCAGAGGGCCCTTCAATTCTTCCTGCAGACAGTCGATCAAAAATCTGATGGATGCCGTGCCAAGCCTGCAGAAGCAGCAGCTGCTGCTGCTCCTGCAAGAGGAGCTGGTGAAGCAGCGGCGCCAGCAGCAGCGGCTGCTGTAGCGACAGCAGTGCCTCCGAGTCCCCCACCCGCGGAAGTCCCATCGAAACCAGCAGCAGTTCAAGGCCGTGCCTCAGTGGGTACTCAGACGACAACAGCAACAGCAGCAGGAGGGCATCAGTTCCCTGCAGCAACGGAGTCATCTAGGGGCCTCCCAGGGTCCCCCAAGGGCTCCTCTGTAGACCCTTTTGCTTTCCGTGAGCGGCTGCCAACTTTAGATTCTGCCTTTGCGCCGCATGCAGAGGAAGTAGAAGAAAGCGGCTTTTCGCAGTTGTGTAGATACACCTCAGAGGTTATCCTTGCAGGGGCCCCCCAATTAGGGAGGCCCTTCTTAGGAGGAGGGAACGATGAGCTGCAGCCGGCAGAGCTGCTGCAGTGCGAGCATATGCTCCTTGATGATGTAGATGAGCAGCAGCAGCAGCAGCAGCAGAAAGTGGAGCAAGAGCAGCAACCGCAGTTGGCTGTTTCTTCTGCCATTCCTGCAGACTTCAAGAGCCCCCATCCTGTGCTGCAGCTGCCTATACACGCTGAGGTGTCTGGTCTCCCTTGTTCATTGCTGCTGCCCTATGTCTCTTACCGCCTTGCTACTGCAGCAGACCTTGTGCAGTTGCAGCAGCTGCATGCAGAGACATTTCCCTTTATGTATAACGATGCCTTCTATAACTATATCTGCTCAGGCAGAGGTTATGCTCTTCTAGCATCAGTACGCCGCAAAGATATTGCAGCAGTCAAGCTCAAGCTGCAGCAGCAGCAGCAACAGCAGCAGCAGCAGCAGCAGCAGCAGAAGGAGCAACAGCAGGAAAAGAGAAACGGGAGACACGGTGTCTCACAAGCTGAGTGCAATAGCAATGGTGCATCTGCAGCAGCAACGAAACCGGAACCAACAACAGATGCAGCAGCAGCAGCAGCAGCAGCAGCAACAGGGATGTCTGGAGCTGCGAGTGGCGATCGATTGTCTTCATGGCTTTCCTCTTTGCAATCTACGATGTTCCCATCTCGTCAGCAGCAGCAGCAGCAGCAACAGCAGCAGCAGCAAGACGAGGAGCTGCTAGTAGGTGTTATAACGGTCTCGCAAAGCCTTACATATATACTTAACGATGACGCTGTTGTTGTGCGCCGTTGGGTGCAGCAAAAGGAAGAAGAAATGGCACAAGCTGCTGCTGCTGAAGTTGCTGCTGCTGCTGCAGCTGCTGCAGCAGATGGTGGTGGTGATGTCTGTGGTTGTGATGGTGGGAATGGTAAAACAGAACCTGCCAGCAGCACAACAGCAACAGCAGTATCACCAGGAACAGCAGCAGCAGCAGCAGCAGCAGCAGCAGCAGGAGGAGAGGCAGGTATTCCTGAGGAGACGTGCCGTTTGCAGGTCTTAGCAAGAGAAGAGAAACAAATGGGTTGGAGTTCATTCCTCTCTGGCTTTAATCAAGACAGCAGCAGCAAGAACCGAACAGCAGCAGCAGCAGCAGCAGCAGCAGCAGGAGAGGATAGGGAAGACGGGGAAGGACGGGTTAGTTATTGTGGTAGTGTAGGAGATAATAATAATAATAATAGTAATCAGCAGCAGCAGCAGCAGCAAGACATGGTATGTAAGGACTTGGCCTATGTATTAACATTAGCAGTTGCTGCTCCTTTCCGTCGTTTAGGTATAGCTGGTAGTTTGCTGCAGCAAGCGGTGAATTATTTTAGATCAGCAGCAAACCCTGAAGGAACAATTGCACTGTATCTACATGTAGCTGAATATAATAAGGCAGCATTAAACTTTTATATAAATAATTATTTTTATAATATATGGTGTTTTCCTGATTTTTATTCAATAGATGGACAACCTTATGGATCTTATTTATGTTGCATGCATCTACATGAGACATGTAATTCTTGTCGTTATAATAGACGTAAAAAAGCTGCAGCTGCTGCAGCAGCTGCATCAGCAGCAGCAGCATCAGCAGCAGTAGCAGCAGCAGCTGGTGTAGCTGGTGCAGAAGTTGTTAGAGGGAAAAAGAAAAAGAAACAGCAACAGGAGGGGCAGGAACAGCAGCAACAAAAACAAGAAATTGAAGGGGAAGAAGAAGAAGAACAAGAAGAACAAGAACAAGAAGAAGAAGAAAAAGGAGGAGGAGGAGGAAGAGGAGGAAGAGGAGGAGGAGGAGGAGGAGGAGGAGGAGAAGAAGATTTATTACAAAAACATACAAGAGGAATTGTTAAAGGATTAGAAGGAATTGGCAAAGCATTCAAGGCTGTACAATCCTCTGTTACTGATTTCTTACATACTACTACTACTACTGCAGCAGCAGCAGCAGCAGCAGCAGCAGATACTGCTCCACCAACAGATACAGCAGCAACACCAGATACAGCAACAAATACAGCAGCAAGTAATTCTACCAGCAGCTATCATCTTTAACTCTTTTTTTTTTTTTTCTTCCTTTTGTATCTTATTCCTTATTAAGTATATATATACATATACATATTTATATATTATATAATATGTATATCTTATGTATTATATATGTATATATATATATATTATATAATATAGTATATATATACATAATATTGTATGTTTATACATATATGTATATATATAGGGTAGTGTGCTTATAAGCAGATAAAGAGGAAAGTACTGAGTAGTCAGGAATAATAAGAGGTACAGTAGTATACACACCAATAACCACCAGCAGCAGCAGCAGCAATAGCAAGACCAGTAGTAGCAGCACGTGCAGAAGCAAGAGTAGCAGCAGCAGCAGCAGCAGCAGCAGCAGCAGTAGCAGCAGCAGCGAGTGTGTGTCACTGCAGCTCTCTATAAAGGGGGAAGAAGTATAATTAATTAATTAATTAATTAATTAATTAATATAAATATAAATATATAAAGTAAATAGATAAATAAATAATAAATAAAGTGGGAGGTAAAAAGGGAAAGAATTGCCGTAAAAGGGTTTGTGCAATAGGGATTCTAAACCCTAAACCCTAAATTGTAAACCCTAAACCCTAAACCCTAGGAGGGTGATAGGAGGCAAACATTAACGAATAAATACTGATTTTTTTTATATAATAATAATAATAAACAAAAACCCTCATCTTTTTTCTTTATATATAAATAAATAATAAACATAAACCCTAATATTTATATATAAATAAATAAGCAAACATAAACCCTCGTCTTTTTGCTGAGGGAAGAAAAAGGGTTTAATTTATAATTAATTTATTTAATTAATATAAATAAATTGTATTTATTTATATTAATTAATTATAAATTAAAAAAAAAACCCTTATGTTACGATTTAATTAATTATTTATTATTAATAATAATAAATTATTATTAATAATAAAAGAAAGAAAAGGTTTTTTTTATATAGAGAAAATGTATTTTCTTTCCTTTTCTTTCTTGTTTTCCTTGTACACAATAAGCCATTTATTTAGTTAATTATTATTAACTAATTAAATAAATAAATTTAATTAATTAAATTAATTTATTTAATTAGTTTAATTTATTTAATTAAATTAATTAATTAAATTAATTTTTCTTTTTTTGCTGCTGTATTAATCCTTTTACAGTGCTGCAGCAACTGCAGCAAAGAAGAGGAGCGCAGACACCGCAGAGCAGCAGCAGCAGCAAATGTCTTGGGTTTATATTTCTTTATTTTTTCTTCTTCCTCTAGACATAAAAAAGGAAATAAATCCCTAAAAAAAAAAAAAAAAAAAAA